GCCAGCCGGTGAGGATGTGAGTTAGGCGTGGAGCCGGCCGTGCCGCATCCTCCGCGCAGCCTCCAGAACAATCCCCATTGTGGGATGCGGACGGGCTTGGGGATGGGGAATGTGGCTTTCCTGGCTCTTCCGGCATCCACTGTGCCGGCCACGCTGCAGCCCCAGCACTCAGCCCTCGAGGCTCCATCCCCGCTCCCCCTGGGCTCTGTGGGTGCTGGCAGCACCCGGGCTGGTTCGGGGACCCTCTGTGCTCAGCCAAGGACGGGAAGGGGCAGGAGGAAACCTTCAGACAGAGCTTACAGTGGAGCCATGAGCTGGCCTGGCTGTGCCTGTGCAGGGGTGAGCTCTTCATCTGGGGAAACTGGGGCTGACTTCGTAAAGCAGAGCAGTGTCTTAGGGGCATGAGGGTTTTTCCATCACGCTCTTCGGGCTTGGCTTCCTTTATTTTTTTCCTGGTTTTGTTCCGGTTTGGATTCCCCCTTTGCTTCTTTGGCGGGAAACAGGAAGGGAAGAGAATCTCAGCTGAAACCAGCAGAGCAGTGGGTTGAGGGAGGGGATCCTTGTGCCCAGCTGCCCCCATCCAAGCACGAGGGAGGCAGCAGCAAATCCCTTACCAATGGAGCCCCTTTCCCACCCCTGTGTCTCTGCCATCCTGCGCACAGGGTGCTGCGCTGTGCTACTGGGCTCATCCCAGCCCCATCCTGCACAGACACTTCAGGAAACACCCAATCCATCGGTATGTTTGAGACTTTGCTTCTTGGTCACAAGCAGAGCCCTCTGGTGGGATGCTCCCAGCCTCCGCCACAGGAACCCCATGATGCTTTCCCCCATGTCCAAGTGTCTGGCTTCTGGGAGAAGGGGGAAGAGCCCCAGGTGTGGCAGGGAAGGAGACACGGGTGAGAGGAGTGATGTCCCTCCCTGTGGAGGGGGATCCAGGAGCAGTCCCGAATGCACAGCCAGGGCCACCCTGCACCGCACATCCCCTGTGCTTGGTGCCTCCAGCTTTGCCTTCCCAGCTGTCATCACCATCACCCTCCTCTTCCTCCTTGGCACAGCTGCCTCCTCCTGTGGGACCGGACAGCTGCCGGCATTAAGGCAACTGTCCCTATAGGCCAGCAGGATGGGGGATAGGGATGGGACACAGGGTGACCCCCGAGGGCTTGGGACATGTCGTTGCTGTGGGCTCCCTGTGCTGTGCAAGAGGGAGCAGCCCCAAAACAGTGGGAACAGAGCCCTGGTGCCATGGCCCCCCTGTACCCTTCCCAGCCAGGAAGAGGACCCTGGAACCATAGCACCATAACATCAAACCCCATGTGCTGCTAGTGGTGGGGATGGAAGCGACGGTCCTCTCAGGGTCACCCCACTGAGTGGTGGGAGGAACGTGTGCCCTCAGCCCCATTGGGTTAAGTGTCCCGGGTCGCTGGGAGGGGAAGCACCAATGCTCCGTGCTCTGATGCTCCATGCTCTGGTGCTCAGTGGGGTTTTATTGATGGATGGCTCTGTCCAGGGGGTGGGAATAGCAGGGGGAGCCGAGGCACATCCATAAACAGCTCGAGTTGTGAATGGAAAGAGACGGATTAGGAGCCAGGTGAAAACATGTCACGCGGCGGGAAGAAAAATGAGCAGCTGGGCCAGACCAAATTGGTGTCTGATGAAGGACGTGGGGCCTGCTGGAAAAAGGATCCCGGGGCTGCTCGGGGGAGGCTGATGGGGAACAGCTGGGGCTGGACACGCACATCTGGCAGAGCAGGGTGAGGGGAGAGGCAGAGGCAGCAGCAACCACCATCCCTCCGGACATCACCAGGCACAGGGCAGCTCATCCCCGGATCAATGCATCCAGAGGGGCTGATGCTTCATTTCCAGGTTGATCCAAGGGAGCGGGAGGCAGCGCCGTGGCCCTTCCCTCAGCAGGGATTTACCCAGTGGGGTTCAGGCTCTGACATGCCGAGGGGTCCCCAGGTGGAGGAGCCGCTGCCTGTTCCCCCGTTTGCATACATGTAAATAAGCAATCAACATAATGAGGGCGAATGCAAACCAGGCTTCCAGTTTGCAACCAAGTCCTATTTTTAACCTTGGAAAAGGGTTTCTGCAGGAAGCTTCAGGCCCTGCGCCGGGGGCTGTCGGCACATCCAGCTGTGCACCCCAAAGCACTGCTGACCCCACAGCCACCAGTGGGTCAGTGCTGCTGCGCTCCACTCCCCTTCCCCAAGGAAACAGACCTCACATCCTTATGGAAAGAAGGACAATGCTCCATCACACCCCAGCTCATGGGAACCTTTCAGGTGGTTCTCCCACCCGCCAAGCCCCTGGGTGCTGCTGCAAGCCGGGGTGTGCACCCAGGGAACCCCCCCGGCACCCTGGGAGCAGAGCCCCATGCTTATACATGAGGGGTATATTTAGACGGCACCAATTTAAGTTTGCACATCAACCTTATAAATATGAAAGCCCATTTCAGCGAGATGTTTAAGATACCTCATCAGCCCTTGGAAAATATGCAGGAATATTAATTAGCCAGATTTGGGTATTATCTCGTAATGAATAAATGAAGAGACTCGCTGCCTGAGATGAATCACTGGTGGCTCGGTGGGTTTTGGGTTGGGGTTTTAAAAGAAAAGTGTATTTCTAAAGTAATTCCCTCTTTTTAGCCCAGTGCCCATGGAGGGGCTCAAGGGACGCAGCCATGATGGGGCCAGGCAGGGTGGGACACCTCGTGGTGCCCCTTACATGGAGGGACCCTAATAGTTGGTGTTTTGCAGCCCCTGATTTGGCCTCTACTGGCTGCATCACCTCTGGGATGGAGGGATGGGGACAGGGTTGGAGCTCTGCTCTGGCTGCAGCAGCCCTGGGCCGAGGATGGAGGTGGAAAGTGCAACCTTAGTGCTTTAAAAACTTGCTGCTTCCCCTCCTGCCCTCCTGCTCTGCTCCCTCCAGCTGGGCCAGGACAGGAACTTCCCAACTGCTGTATAAACCCGGATGAAGGACACGCTCCAAATGAAAACACCAAACAAGAAATACCTTTGTGCATGCCCTGATGGCTGCTTCTCCTTTCTGGGATGTGGCAACTTTGGGGGCCTTCTT